AATTTAATCAGCTCAGGTGAGGATGTATCTGGATGGCTATTCACAATAAGCTGTCAATGAATAAATAGGCCTAGGCTCAAAGGGTTTAATCAAAGGATAACATTCAGGGTGGCTATTTGGCTATCTAGCTTTTAAAAAAAAACTGCCTCTATCATTTCAACAATTATATACCACAAACCATGTCAAGGAGAAACAAAACAAGTTCTAGAGTGATTCATACAGTGAAGTTCTCACCACAAAAAATAATTTCTTTTTAGGCTCAATAGCTCACGGCTAAGGGTGTGAGGCTTATTTTTCCAACTCTCTATTTGATCACTTTAGTTATTTTTCTCTTATTCCAGTGAATTATTAAGCATGCTTGACTGACGCTCATTTATGTGTGAAAATAAATTTACACCATCATAATCTTAATCTCAGCAATCAATCAATATCCTGTAATTATTCACAATGTATGCAATCAAGTACAATGGAACTTAAAAACAAAGGATTCACCATTTAAAAATTTTACTAACATTTAGTGACTAAAGATGGGTGGGGTATTTAAAAACAAAATTTAAAGTTTAAATTTTTTAAAGTAAACTAATATAATTAAAATCTAATTTAAACTAATACGAATTTAAAATAACATAAATAAAAGGAATAAGATAATATGAAATATAATAATATTGAGAAATCTCCCCTGAATCATTGCATATGCATGTTGCATAATTTCTGTGTAATCATGAATTCTTTCCTTCCGACCATGTGAGGTTTGTGGTCTGATGAATTGCGTGGTACCCATTCCCAGATTTAAATCTTGCTGTCCTCAGCAATAAATTTAAATCTAAAAAGAATCCTAAGCAAGAAATCAGAAAGATTTGACACTATGTTCTGCACACATGTCAGAGAATGAACTATGTCAGCATGTCATATCCAACAAAAAATCATAATCAGGATTAGTCTCAACATACATCTCATACTACCATCAACCATCATCAACAAAATGTACATAAAAATAAACGAAATAAAATATAAGAGTCTAAAACTGATATGGGGGTCAATTCTCCTCTGCTGCCTCCTTATCATTACCAGCTGTGGCATCTGTGTATGCTTTAATCCCATATATACACCTGAAAATCCATCTCAGAAAAGTTGATCATTAGCCTCAATATTTTTATTTTTTTATTTTTATGTAACATAATACTTAAATAACTAGACTATAATTAAAACTGAAACTAAACTAAACCAACTAAATTAAAATACTGAAACTTAAAATACTGGAAAATTAAAAAAAAATGGTTGGGTTGCCTCCCACAAGCGCTTGTTTTACGTCACGAGCCTGACGTACCTCTTTTACGTTCATGGTGGCTCAAAGCATGGCCTTAGTGATGACCAAGCTCCATCATTCAGAAATGGTGTCCTCCCATAGTACTCTTGTGCATATGAGTGAGATGCAGTAGGCTCAATAGCTTTGAATTTGGTGTTTACGTGCTTTCCCTTGCTCCTGAGATTCTCCATCTTAACCTTTGGCTTACTTTCTTGAGAAGAATTCTTTGTGCTCTTCTTCTCCTTTCTTCTCACTAATATAGTAGACTTGATCTTCCGCTTGAGTTATAGGTGAGGGGACTTCTTTATCAAAGAACTTGAAAATTGCCTGCTCCCCGTCTACCCGTAAGATCAACTCGCCTTTCGGTACATCAATCAGCGCTCCTGAAGTTGCCAAGAAAGGTCTTCCGAAGATCATAGGAATAGTAGAATTTTCCTCTATATCAAGGATGACAAAATCAACAGAAATGATGAATTTGTCAACATTTACCAGTATGTTCTCAATGATTCCATAAACTTGTTTTGTAGAGCGGTCAGCCAGTTGAACTATTGTCTTGGTTGGCCTTACTTCAGTAATCCCCAGTTTCTTCATCATAAATAGTGGCATCATGTTGATGCTGGCACCGAGATCACATAGAACATTTTTCACTTCCATATTGCCTATGTTGCATGGAATGCTGAATCTTCCTGGATCTTTAAGCTTTGGAGGCAACTTTTTCTGGGTAATGGCACTGCATTCCTCTGTCAGAGTCACCGTCTCACATTCTTGTAGCTTACGCTTTCGTGATAGAAGATCTTTCATGAACTTTGCGTAATTGGGCATGTTCTCCAAGGCTTCAGTAAACGGGATATTGATTTGCAGCTACTTGAAAATGTCAAGGAATTTGGAATACTGCTGCTTTTTGATTTCCTCTCTGAACCTCTGCGGATATGGAATCTTTGCATAAGGTGAGAGCTCCAATGACTTTTCTTGCCTTTCTTGAGCTTTCTTTTTCTCCCATTTGAACTCTTTCTTTTCAGGAACAGTTTTCTCTGCAGCAAATTCTTTGGCAACTTCCTTTTCTTTTTCCTTTTCAGTTGCAAGTTCATCATCTTTCTTTTTCTCTACTGAAGGCTTTACCACAGGTTCAATGGCTTTCTCACTCACAGTAGTAATCGCATTGCAGTGTTCCCTAATTGGATTTGGAATAGTGTTTCCTGGAAAAGTTCCTTGAACTCTTTCAGTGAACTGCTTTGATAGCTGGCCAATCTGAGTTTCAAGATTCCGGATAGAAGCTTCTTGATTCTGGAATGAGGCCCTTGTTTCTTGCATAAAGGCTGAAGTGTCTTCTCTGAAAGCATTGGAACTCTGAATGTAATCTGACGTGGTCTTGGATAGTTGTGCAAAGGCCTTCTCCCACTCTGATTGTTGTGGAGGTTGCTGTGGTACTGGCATAGGAGGATTCAGCTGATGATTCGAACTATAACTGAGTCCTGGGTGTTGATTTTGATTTTTATTTCTCCACCCTTGATTCTGGTTATTGCCGTATTGGTTCCTCCCTGGATTATATGGAACTTTCTGATCATGCCAAATTCCATTAACATCTGCAGTTTCGGGTGCCTTGCAGTCATCAGTAGCATGAGCACCTGCACAAATATCACAAACAATAGAAGAAGTATTAACAAAAGCTACTGGAGTATTAACAGAAGAAACTTGAAAATCAGAAAATTGCTTTGTGAGAGCATCTAGTTGTTGTTGTTGTTTCTTATTTGACTGTAGAATCTGATCATTCTGGGCTAGGATGACATCATAGCCATCAAGCTTCATAATCCCCGCTCTTCTCTGTGGTACGGGAGCATTATCATACTCCTGAGAGGCTAAAGACTCTAATAATTCCAAGGCTTCCTCTGGAGTTTTTGTTTTCAAAGACCCTCCTGATGCAGCATTCACCAATGTTCTTGTGTTGGGCTTCATCCCTTGGAAGAAAGTTCTCGCTTGTTCCCAGGCTTCAATGCCATGTTGGGGACACTTCCTGAGCAGTCCTTTGAATCTTTCCCATGCTTCATATAGAGATTCACTTTCTTTTTGTTCAAAAGAAGTGATATCCGCCTTGAGCTTTGCCATTTTCGAAGATGAGAAAAATTTGTCCAAAAATTTGGTTGCCAAGTCGTCCCAGTGGGTGATGCTTCCTTGAGGTAACGATTGCAACCATCCTCTTGCTTCATCTTTAAGTGAACATGGGAACAATCTGAGCAAAATAGCATCCCGAGACACCCCATTCATCTTCAAGGTATCACAATATAGCAAGAAGTTTTCCAGATGGATGTAAGGGTCTTCCGTGCTTCCTCCGGCAAATTGGTCTTTCTGAATTAATTGTAAAAGTGCCGGCTTGAGTTCAAAGTTGTTAGCATCCACGTTTGGTCTAACAATACTCGCCGTCTGTGGAACTCGAGCAGGAGTCATGTAATCTCCCAACGTTCTCGGAGGTGGTGGAGGTGCATTGTTGTCTCCCATTGCTTCTTCTCTTGGTTCTGTTGAGCTTGAAGCTTCTTTCTCTTGCTGTCTTCTTTCTTTAGCAAGTTTTCTGTTTCTTTTTGCTGTTTTCTCTATCTCCGGGTCGAATTGCAAGGAATTGGTGTCAACGGTACCTCGCATAAACCAGAAAAATAGATTATATAAAATAAGAAAATAAAACTGAATTTAAATAACAGAAAATTAAATAACAGAAAATAAGGTCCAATCTAAAGAATTAATAGCTACTATTAATGTTGAAATAGTAATCCCCGGCAACGGCGCCAAAAACTTGTTGCTACTCACGACAAGTGCACCGATCGTACAAGTAATATATGATTAAGTAAGAGATCGTTCCCACGAGGATTACGGTTCAAGCACTAATTCACTATCGCAAACTTAGTTGGACAATCGAAAGTGTATTTGGAAACAGGATTTGAATTGCAAAATTAAAATATTAAATATTAAGCTAATTACTTGCAAGAATTAAAGACAAGAAATTAAAGATGTGATTCAACTAATAAAATAAAAACGTAGCTAGGGGTTCGATTTCATTTAATCTCCTTATTACGTTTGAATTCCTTCTTAATGTTAATTGTCCTTAGTATCAATCTAATCAATTCTTTCGCATGTTATTAGAGCTCAATCCCTTGTTACTCTAAAATCTTTACAATATTGGAAGAACCCTAGTTCCCCGGTTATTCCCCAAGCATGCAAGCATTAAATTCAAGAATCTTAAAGATTACGCAAACCCTATGTCTATCCCTAGAATCATAACGTTTACGATGAAGTTATCAGATATGGATCACACACCAACATTCCTATTGTCATGCATTCACCGATGATCATTATATAAGATTTAAGCCTATATAGAGCATTAAAAACAGATAACTTCATTCATGATAAAAAGGAAAATTAACGTACGAATTGTTCAAAGCGTAATAAATCGACTAAAATTCATCTAACCCTAACTACTTAAAGAACTAGCCGGACATGGCAAAATCAAGAACAAAAGAAAATAGAAAAGCTCCCCCAAACTCCATAGATAATTGGTGGATCTTCAATATCTCCAGTGAACACTTGACGTTGATCCGTCTCCGCCGCTCACGAACATGAATCTGATGTTCCTCCGCGTTCCTTCAGCCTCTGAGCACCCAAGAGTTGTTTAGCAATGTAAAAGTTATGTATTTCTGGTCCCCAATGGTGTTTAAATAGGTCAAGAGTTCGTATTGCAGTAGAAAACTTGAATGGGCCTAAGTTGGACTTGTCTAGGCGCTTAAGCTTGTGAATGGGGGCTTAAGCTCCCACTTCTAACAACTTGATAAGATCTTCAATCTTATTGTTTTTTATCTTCCTCTATCATCTCTTGATCTCATCTTTTCTAGTTGTGATCTCTATCTATCCAATCTTCATCTTTGACTCCTTTTGTCAACAATTCCCTAAAAAATAGCAAAGATGATTCAATTAAACAAAAATTCAGATAATGTTCATGATTATTATATTAAACCCTAGTTTTTGACTTATTTAACTTGATATTTTATATTAATTTAGTCTATAAAATAAGATAAACTAAAGGTTTATCATAGAGCATGAGAGAGAATTTAGAGAGAAATTGTAGAAGGAGGAGAGTATTGTAGCAATGAGAGAATTTAGAGAGAAGTTGTAGAAGGAATAGAGTTTTACATAGGGTGAGTGACGCGCGAGCATAATTTTGTTATGTGATAGTGACATAGGATGGAGACTCTTGTTGTCAGACACAACAGGACATGTACATGTTGGACCAAACAGCAGGACAAGTCTATCTAATCATTGTTACAAAAATTGGACCGGACAAGTCAGTTCGAATTGAAAATCGATAAATCGGCCATGTGATCAGTTCGGGTAAAGTAATGGATCGGGAATGCAAGTGACCCAATACGAACCACAGTGAACTGATTTTACAAAAATAGGAAAAAAAAACTCATTTGGGATGAAATCGAAACCGACAATGTCCTCTGCAGTGTAGACACAGAGAAAAGAAGAAGATTTAGGAAAATACCCTTGCGTCTGAGAAAAGTGAGTGTGTGAAACAGAAAGAGAAGGGACATGAGTTGAAGACGATCAAGCATTAGTCGTAGGAGGCAAAACGATGATTAAGAAAGAAGTGAGAGACACTAGCCAATGGAGAGAGAGAGAGAATGCAGTCCTCATCAAAATTCAGATCGGCCATGAAGAGAAGAGGGCAATGATGTCCTTCAATAGGTCATGGAAGAGATAGTGAAAGAGAGAAAACCATCTTCCTGATTGTTCCTCACTTGTGCATTGAAGAAAGAGAATATGAGAGAGAGACTATTTTTAGTTTTGACTTCGCGTGGCTCAGCCACTCATTTCTTATATACTTTCTTTTCAATTTTTCTATTATTTAAATTTATAATTTTTTATTTCTACTATTTTCATTTAGCACATTAAATTATTTATTTGTTTATTTAAATTTATAACTTTTATAGTAACAAAAATTGACTGTTAAAATATTTTTTATAATTTTACATTTTTATTTAAATTTAATCTTTAATTGAATATTATTTTTATTTGTCATTAATTATATAAATATATAAATTTTTAATTAATGGCTTTGCATTCATTTAAATATGAAATATAAATTAATATTTATTATCCGGTTCAAACGGTCTAATAAGTGACCCTCCAAATGAACCAATAACTCAATACTCCGATTAAACCGGTCTAGATCTGATAATATTTTATCTATTAGCGGAGCTTGGATGCTGAGCCACTCGACAAAATGTGTTCCGATAAATTCAATAGTAAAACTTTGTCCGTAACATATTGGAAATAATTTAAAAAATATGATGTTTTTTTATTTAAATTCTCAAAACTTGTTAAATGCATCGTTGTCCCAAATAATTAGATTATAGACCGTACTTTTTTAAAATGGTGTTGGCTAACAAAAACGATATTTTTATTATTTATTTTTTTTCAAGTTGACATCAAAACACATGAATAAATTGGAGAATTTTTTTAAAAAAAATAATAATTTCTTGAAAGTTTCTCGAAAGAAAAAATTATTCAAACATGCTCTATGTGTTAATGTTATAAAATTTGGGTCGCATTAAAATAAATCAAGTACATGTGTAATCTTGATTGTTTAGATAGGATTCTAACGGGCATTAAATGGACAGCAGCGAATTGAGTTCCTGAAGTGGGGACCGTTGGCTGGAATTGCAACGTTTCACTTTTAAGTGTACTTCCAACCATTTGGTCCATAGGCCATGTGCTCAATACAGGACTCCTTGAGCAAAGAACCGGGCATCAATTATTATTCAATATAATATTAATATCCTTACCAAAAAATAAATAATACTAATATAAAGAGAAAATAGGTGACGTCTTCACCAAAATATTTTTCCTTTGCAATTTAACTCTTGAGAAATTGAAGAACAAGTGAATAAAGTTTTTAAGAATTGATTATATAAGTAAAAAGACTCATATATCTAATATTTTAAGGTTTTGAGATGAGTTGTGATATCTAAACTCACTTAATATTATTGTTCACTAACCCAATTGTAAAGAACCTTGGGATACAATGAATGTGGTACTATATATTTTAACACGCCCCCTCACACGAGAGTTCATTGGACTTGAAGAGTGGATGATGCAGCAGGCTCAGCCTACCTGTGCTAAGAAATTCCACAAGAGAAAGTGGGGGACAACGAGGTTTGAGCCCGAGTCACGAGGCTCTGATACCACTTAAAAAACCTTGGGATACACCACCCCAAAAGCTAGCTCAAAGTGTGGGACAACGAGGTTTGAACCCGGGACACGAGGCTCTGATATCACTTAAAGAACTTTGGGATACACCACCCCAAAAGCTAGCTCAAAGGGTGAAAGAGACCAAGGCCTTATAAAGACCACATTAGTTGCACATACAACCAATGTGGGACTATATATCTCAACACCAATAATAATGGTCTCTCCTCGCGATTTGTTCCTTGTCGTCCCAACCTACATTGTATCGACACCGACACAGGACACGGGATACAACAGTATAATCCGACACATTAATTTTTAAAAATGTTAGATTTTGACACATTATGATATTAAATAATATTTTTAATTTATATAGTGTATATTATATTTAATATTCAATAATTTAACAAAAAAATAAGCTAAACTTATAATACTCATTAATTTTACAAAAAAACATAAGATATTAATATTTGTTATTATAATATGAAAGATATAAGTAAAATATGTATAAAAAAATAGACAAGATACTCTATCCCAAATATTGATATTAAATTCAATAAAATGGTAATTATAATTCAACGAATCTAATAGTTGAAACTAAAAACGCAATGCAACGCAACCTTTGAACACTTTTTTGAGTATCTACAATGCGTGTTGGAGTGTCGAGATATCAAAGAATATCGAAAAGTGTCAGACACAACATATTAAGTTTTTAAAAATATCATAACAACATAAATCCCAACTTTAGCTTCTAAATTTTTTGTGTACGGATTAGTCTTAAAATTTACATAACTTACATCATGTTAGTTTTTTTTTTTTTTTTTTAACTTGTCAATTGGAGACGGCAAATATTAACACATGCAATGCGAGTTTTATAAAATTAGAAATTACTTTCTGTATACAAAAAATTAAGGAAATAGTTATAGATGAAAGATGTTTCCTAAAACTAAGTTATTTACTTTTTTGAGAAAAGTGTTTATCCTTTTAAATGACACAATTTATATCATTTCACTCTCACAAAGAGATGAGACCCACATCTTTATTTTTTTTGTCAACGTTCTCTCCTCTTTTATCTATCTTTTTCTCTCTCTTAAAATGACATAACTTTACATCCTTTAAAATGACACATATTTTTTCCTATTTTTTTATAAAGTTTTTCGGGTACAGAATAAGTTGTTTATATGCTCTAAATTAACTAAAGTTGAATATCAATCTAAAAATTCTCGTAACGATTACGACTCGACAAGTACCACGAAATGAGAAAACAGTTACAGCACTTTCAACTAGGGCCAAAGTGGATTGGGTTGTACCGAATTTTGTCCGGAAAAATTCAAATTTATGCCAAAAGAAATTAATTTGGTCTGTCCGATAGCATAGTATAAGTCTAAGTGTTAGCTTGACTTGGTCCTTTTATAAAAAAATAAAAAAATGGCCTGGTTTGACCTTTTGGCCTATTAATTTTTAACTTTCGAGTAGAACCATGAATCAACTATACAAAATACTCAAAATCTATTGTTAAAATAAAAACCACAATTTCAACGTCCAAATAGAATCATGATTACAATAACAACTTATCACAATCTGCATTTAAGTCACTTTAAAAAATAAAATGCTCAAACTAAATAACATATATTTCATCAGATCCAACAAACCAATTCATACTATATAAATTAAAATAACTACATGAATCCAACAAACACATTATGATGCTTGTAGTAGCCAAAAATTTCTCATCATCTTCTCTCCCTTGCAAATACAATTTCAAGGTTACATAAGTTGACAAATAATTTGTAAACGTAGAAAACAAAAAACAAGATTAAAGAATAGAAACAAAAAAAAAGATTAAGAAAAAAAAAACCTTTTAGTATATTTTATAGGCAATCTCACATACTGAAATGTTGATTTCTTCTATATAAGAAATATGAGTGTTCATCAACCAATCCAAACTGATTCAAACCGCGAAAACCGAACCGAAAACCCGATAACCGAATAAACCGAAAATCGAAAAATCGAAAACCGAAAGAAAACCGCAAATTTTAATTGGATTGGATCGATTTTCGGATGGGTTGATGAAAACCGATCCAATCCAAACCGATCCAATATATTAATTATCCTCTACCTAATTGTCTTTTCTCCAATCATAGCCCAAAAATTTTTAAACTCAAGACCCATTAACTCATCAACTAAACCCAAAAAAAAACTTAGTCACCTCTCATCAACTATAGTATTGTTCACTGATATTTTTGTATTTCAATTTTTTTTTTACAAAGTCAATATATACAAAAGATGTTATTTGCACAATAATCACGAAACTAATTTTAGGATATTCAAAAAACCGAAAACCGATCCAATCCAAACCGAAAAAAATTGGATTGGATCGGATCGGATTTGAAAAAAAATCTAAACCGAATGGATGATTACGTGATCAAACCGAAGGGATTGGATCGGATGAGTTTTACTTCCAAAACCGATCCAATCCAGACCGCGAACACCCCTAATAAGAAATAAGGTCATATTTCTATTAAAATTTAATCAAATATAATTAAATTATAAAATAATTTCAATTGATTAAATTTATGTCTTTTATTTTTTCTTCAAGTCATACTTATTACGTAGTCAATCTCCACTACATATTAAAGCTTAGATAGTATCTTCAGCAAAGCTAGAACGATAAGCATCAATAACTCTTCATTCATCACTAAATGTTGATTCTGATGCTACTATAAAGATTGGTACAGATCTTATGCCACTCCCAATGGTGATATTGATGGGGATTGAACCTAGGTCCTTCCACCACTTACTTAGCTCACATGCACTAACTGAGCTATCACCATTTGGTATTACTATGAATAATATTATTTTATTTTACTTAAAATAAATAATATAAGCATAGGCTTATAGGTCTGACATATAAAAAAAAGCATATGGTCTGCTTTCTTAAATAGGTTTTTTTAAAAATTCGAGCATGTTCTATTTGATTATATGTATTAAATCGAGTCTGGCCTGATATAAATTAAGTCGTAGGCCGCTATAGACCAACCTGACTCACTTACACCCTTACTTTCAACCATATTGTTCCACAAATAGACAAGTGGTCAATATAGAAATTTCAGTGGGCCATGCATTAAGAAATAATTAAGGGTTCCGTTGATGAAAAAGAGTCAAATGAAAATAATAAAGGTTGATGTTTGGTTTTAAAAAAATAAAAATTAGGTGAGTTTTATTTTATTTTATGTTTTCTTCTTTATTTTCGTCTAAATTAAGGGTAGGAATGGTGATTATTAATAATCCCATTATTTCGTTCATTTTTAAGTGAGTTTTAAATAATGAAATGAATTTATTTCTATTTTACTAGTAAACATTTAAACAATGATATAAAAGAATTTATTTTATTCTATTGTATCCACTATCCACCTTCAAATATCCAACCAAAAGTCGGATATCATCAATAATTATTCAAATTATTCTAAAAATATTGAACTAACATGGGCTTGACGTAAACAAATCTTTAAAAAAAATATTTCCCTATTATTATTTGTAGGAGAGTGATTATCTTATGTTATATAAATAAAATTGCAAGTGAGACCCATTCGTAACAGGAGAGAGAAAAAAAGAGTGATGAGACTCATCCTTTTTTTGTGTATAGAAAAATTATTTATCTCAAGATAAATGAGATAAACATAACCCATAATAATATATGAACAAAAAATGGAAAGATGATGACTAATTACTTTGTTTAATATGAATGCCTAATTGCTTTTTTCTACAACAGATCGACAGCCAATGGTATTGCTAACCAACAACATAAGCATCCCATGATCTTTACAAATATAGGGACTAAAAATTAAAAACAAGAAGGGGAAAAAAAAATGCCTTAATTTCTCTATGCATCTTCCTTCTTTAATTTTTCTCGTTTTAAATTTCAACTGTTAAGACATGAATAACTTTTGCTTTTCACTTTCTAATATTGTCCCCACAAGTAGGTCAAAGAAACTAGAGAAAGAATTCAGATTGCAACAAAGCATAGTAGTTAGCAGTTTCATCTTCAAGCTCCCATAACCCATCGCATATAGAAGAAAACATGTCTCCACCGTTGAACCCATTTTCACCAAAATCCAGTAACCCATATTCCTCTCTATTTGGAATCCCAAGCTCATCATCAGAAGCTTCAAGAAGATGTCTCATGACCTTCTCTTTATCATCTTCCTTGACAATAATATCATTAGAATGAGTGATAGAAAAAGTGGTAGAGGTTGAACAGTCCTCTAAATTGGTGGCTAGGTTGTGTTGGCCATTATTTTGAGGTGGGCTCAAAAGGGTATCTGATGAATCAGAGGCACAAGTGATTTCTTGTTGGAGGGTTGTTACAAGAGAAGAGAGGTCTTCTGTGGAATCATCTTCCTCTGATTCAAGAAGAGAGAGTATGTGGTTGTATGGCTTGTGCCTCTTTGAGGACTCTTCACAATCTACATCTTCTAATTTTACTTGGGGCTCTTCTCTTGGCCTCTTTGGTATTAAAGTTTCCTCCATTTAGAAAAATACAAATAAAAAAAAAGAAAAAGAGAACAAGGGCCTTTGAAGAAAAATGGAATGAGGTGATGTGAAGTGAGAAGGTGCACAAGGGTAGAATGACAATGAAGGAGAGGATGATGGAGAGACAAGATGGCGTAAGGGATTATATAGAGGGTAGAAAGAGAGCAAAATGCGGAGTTGTGGTCAAAATAAGTGAAAAGAGATAGCAACGGGAATATTAAACATTTAAACTTTCTTAGTGTGTTCGTTGGGCTAGAGCATGAGAGATATTAGGCAAATTTCATTGAAAAAATGAAAAGTAATGAAAAAAAAAAAAAAAACCAATTATCGGACGTGGATTTGAACTAAATGTGAATGGGAAAGGATTGTTAACTTGTTACATGTCATTTGTTCTGTATTTTGTGCTACACTTGGGTAAAGAGAAAGAGATAATGTTTACCAAAAATATAAAGAAAGAAATGCAGTAAGTAGGAATTTTTCTTGATTTATTAGCAAGAAAGAAAGCTGTGTAAAGTACTGTAATAAAAGTTATGTATGAATATAGTTATTCATACAATGTTATTAAACCCGGTTGACTCGGTTGGGATATTGGGTTATTGATCAGATCAGTTGATCAGATATATAAAAATATATATAAATATAAAATATATAAATTTAATTATATTCTTCATATTTAAAATGAATTAAACAAGATTCACTAAATAAATTCAAAAATTATTCAATCACACTTTTACAAGTTTATAAAGCACAAATAAATGAAAATGCACGTTATTATTATGTCAATTTAAATTGCAATTCAGAATCCCCATAAACCTATCTCTCAATGACACTCAAAAGGCAAGATGTTGTGAACTCATATTATTCAAACTTATCTATATTGAAATGACATATATGTCACATTCTCTTAATTTATTGTTCCGTAAATTGTTTCAGTATTGGAAGCTGAGATTTGAGATCATTATAGAAGAATATACTACTAACCAAAAAAATTTAAAATAAGTTATATATTTTTTTACTGACAAGATGAAACAATCTTGATTTTTGATTTTTGATTTTTTTTTATAAAAATGTATGACCTGACTGGGTCATCGATTTTGGCCTGATTTTGATCGGATTCAATACAAAGCTGGTCTAATACTTGACTCGAACCACTATGATGACCGATCTGTCGAGTTCCGATCATTACCACATTTAATATATTTTGTATGATGTTTAGGTTGTGATTGAAGAATTATAAGATTTAAATATATGTACTTTTATTTTATACCTTATAATTATATAAACTGATCTGTCTTAAGGAATTAATTTCTTTAAAACTTTATTCCGCGTTAAAAACGAGAGAAAGAGAAAAAAATTAACATTTTAAATATTTTAATAAAAATAATTCAGTTAAGTAACTTTTATTATAATCAAATTTAACGATTTTTCAATTTGCATAACTATTTTAAACTAGATATTAAAATAAGGTTAGAGTATTTATTTATTGTTAACTGAATAATAAATATTTAAAATTTTATTAAATATGACTTAATGAATACTTAATAAGTCATCCTAATTAAGTATTCAAACCAAATTAACATGAATATTGAAATAATATCTTATTTCGTATATCTATTTCAAATGATTCATGTATAAATATATGGATTAATTTATTATATTGTAGAAGATAATTTTATCTCCTATATTATATAAGAGTGTATGGCCTTACTTTTTTTTTTTTGTCTTCTTTTCATATGAGTCCACACTCTTTTATATGTATATGAAAAATAAAATTATCTCCTACAATGTTATAAACATCAAACCCATAATTATGACTTGCCTTATAGATGGGAGAAAATGAAAGAAAAACGAATGGTCAAGATGATGATGGTATTACGAGACTTCTACATATATAAAAAGTTTCGTGTTAAACGCAACTCATTTTCTTTTTCTGTTTTTATTTTATGTTATTTTGGTATTAACGTAAGTCTTTATCAATTATCCCTATGAGTTAGTGCTTTTGCACTGTCAGTATCACCCATTGATTAGATATTTTTGGGAATGCGCGGAGCCTCGTGGCACCGATTATACTGATGAAACGGAAAGAATAATGTTTAGAGCAAGAGAACTTGATGCCAATAAAGAAAGAGGCTATTCTATTAAATGATAATAATTCAATTAGTGTCAAAAAAAATTGAGCAAGTAACGATGAGAATATGTGTTTAATTCTATTTAGTACCACCGTTTTTAAGATAGATTTAAAGTATTAGGGAAGAGTGTGTGTCATTTTAAAGATATAAAGTTGTGTCATTTTAAGAGAGAGAAAGAGAGAGAGTTGACAAAAGAGATAAAGGTGTGGGTCTCACCTCTTTGTGAGAGTGAAAGGATGTAAGTTGTGTCATTTAAAAGGATAAACATTTTTTTCCAAAATATTACTCCCAAAATTCGTTCTGAATCGAACTAGTCACGAAATAATTAAATAATTAAAATATTAAAAAAAAAGGCTATCCTCCGGAATGAAAAAAAAAATAAGGAGGTTCACTTTTACGTTTTACCTTTTGCTGCGATGTATGTCATTTAATGTCAGATAATTTTAAAAGTAAATACCCTTTTTGTCTCTGACAATTTTCACGAGGCACATTTTAGTCCCGAACAATAAAAAAGGCTCATTTTAATTCCTAATATTTGAAAAAAAGGGTCACGTTCGTCCTTCCGTTAGTTGGCATCTGACAGCCCAACTAACGGAGCACACGTGGACCGTTACTTTGCTGAGTCACCGTTAAGTATGCCAGCATGAAAGTAATAGACGTCGTTTTATGTTTTCTTGGAGTTTTGAACAGCTGACCTTAGCATCGAAGGCCCTATTTGGTCCTTAACACAAAAATATTATTGGTCTTTTGCCTAAATAGATTTTACTGACTGAGGTTTCAGCATTATTAGTTACATTCTTCAGTAATTGTAGTCTATTAGGTATTACATATTTTTGCACGTATTCACCTCTCTGTTCTCGAATTGGTATCAACCTATTTTATTGATCATCCAAGGGAGATTTTAACCTGTTTACATTTCAGGTTGTTTTTAGGAAATTTGGGTTCATAATTTTGGATTGTGTTGCTGTCAATTTTTCTATATTATGGTTGCTTCATTTTCTATTTTATTTTCTCCCAAATTGATCAAATTGCAATTTTTCTGAAGGGTTTAGGGTTTACCTAAAAAAATGACATGAACACAGAAGTTGCTAGGCATATTGCAGCAAACCACCAACCACAAATCTTTCAAACCACCATTGCAGCAATCCAATGGCCCTATTTTAAATGTATGAGTGGAACCTCAATGCTTCTAGAACCTTGTAATCTATCAATCAACATGGAACTTGTGTTTGAGGGGTATGCCTAATCAACATGGAACTTTGTAATCTATCAAGCTGTTAGTGATTCATTTCTCTGTGGAAGAGATAAAGCTGAGTTAGAATTTGATCTCATTGTTGAGCTTTACCAAAACTAATTTCTTCATAGCTCTTTTAATCTGAGTTAAGTAAATCTGTGGAACCAAGAACCGACTTAATGGTATCTGATCCTCATTGCTTCATACTTTATATTTTTGCTTTCTTCTACTTATCAAAATTATCTGATACAAATGTTACTGATAATTATCAGTGGGAAATATGTGACTCTATTAACTTATTAGGATTAAGTTGCTGAATTTTTAAGTTGACCGTTGGGGTTTGTATATGTAACTGGAATTTGATTAGAATTTTAGCGATAGATGATCCTTATGAACTTGGCCGCTGGCTTGGCTCATTGGTGGTTCTGTAATTTGTCTTTAGAGTTTATTTTTAAATTAGAATTAGCTTATTTTTCTTTTATTAAAATAATATTTGCCTCCGTTCTTTATTTTCTTCTATCAAGTTTGTATTGGAGGTTTATTTATACAACTGTGTGTGTCATCGTACAAGTAATCTTGATCTAGTTATGCTTCTTGTGCTCAGAACTTTTTGCGCCAGTTGTATTTGCTCTCTTATTCTAAGTTAACAAGAAAGCTTCTTTAGAGGAAATACATGCTAAGCAATGTTAGAAAAAAAAAAGTATTCTATTGTATGAAAGATCAACGTCGAGTAAGGGGCATGTTGTGTACATCAATAATAATACAGCAAACAATCAAGTGTTCTGTTTGGTTACTATCAACACATTTTTATCATGGTTCACTATCTACTATACCTCCATTTTGCAATTATTGCTCTCGTCTCAAACTTATCTCAGGTCTTCCTTTGCATTTTTTGTTATTTGTGTGGGCCTTCCAATCTACCTTCAGCGTGTGTTAATTCTGTGGTTCCTATAAGTACATGCTTTTTTAACATCTGAAGAACAAAAAGGGGATTCTGTCCGAGCTGCCGGAGGTGATTAGGGCTGGCAATATGGGCCAGCCTGTCCCGGCCCGCCACTAGCCCGCCCAAAATGGGCTAGCCCGCCCCGGTTCGTTTTGACAAAATGGGTTGAATTGAGTAACCCGGCCCGTTTTATGAGTGGGCTGGCGGGCTACGGGCCAGCCCGCCTAAAATAAAAAAAATATAAAAATAAAATACAAAAAATCAAATTCTGCATAAAATCACATAAAAAAATCTGCATAAAAGCATACAAAAATTTGCATAAAATCCTAATGTGCTTATGAAACCAAGAAGATCAGTGTTTAATAATCTGCATATAAATATGCATCTTTCAATCCAAAAATAATAATAAAAAAATAAAATCATATCAGGATAAAATAGAGTAACAAAACAAGTAACAAAGTGTTGTATGAGCAGTCCACAACAATTCAAAAAAGCCACTTGCATGCAGAGAAATCTACGATACGGAGCTACATAACAATTGGGTAATCTTAAAAAAAAAAAAAAAGGACTTGGCGGGCTGACCCATATGGGCTGGCGGGGCGGGTTTGGCGGGCTGGTGGGTTGAAAAACTCAACCCAGCCCGCCCTATTTGGCAGGCGGGGCGGGCCAGCCCGGCGGGCTCAGCCCATTTTGCCGGCCCTAGAGGTGATGATTCACATGTTGATAAC